AGAATCCAAGAGTGGAGAGGAAGACTGTCAATTGTTACAAAATCTCCATCTCTCCACTCTCACCTCAAACCCTGCAAGCTATTTTTGCAATCAATTCATTATAACTTCTGCTACAGTCAGGGTAAAAACATTAACTCTGTCAGACTGGAAGAAAATATAGGTGAGTATTTAAATTTAGGTTGAAGAAATTTAAAAATATGTAAACACAATGAAAGATTTAAAAATTCACACAAATTTTAAGATGACTTAAAATGAAAAGTCAGACAACAGATATTTTTTTTGCACGATAACAAAGAATGAAAAAATTTTTTTTTCACAGGGCCTCACATTGCTAGGCAGGCGCTCTACCACTTGAGCCATTCTTCCAACCCCACGAGTGTTTTAATATATAAAAGGTTCTTATATATTGATGAGAAAAATCTTTTTTTTTTTCTTAACATGAGGAAAGGACAGGAACTAGTAATTATGGTCCCACAGTAGCCAATCACACATGAAAAACTTCTACACTCAGCATTAATCAAAGAAACCAGATTAGCCAGATGTGGTAGCTATAGCTGGGCACAGCAGTGGGCACAGGGAATCCTAGCACTTGGGAAGTGGTGGCAGGAGGATGTTGAGTTTGAGACTAGCATGGCCTCCATAGTGAGATCCATCGCAAAACGAAACAAAAAAACCAAATCTCCCAGTAAACAAAGTCCTTGCCCTCTGAGTTTGGGCAATTGAAACAGAGGATGGCTTGACTTCAGTAACTGGTGAACAATGAATCGGGGAGTGATCAAGTTTGAGGCCAGGCTGGGCAAAAAGCTAGCTAGTGAAACTCCATCTCCCATAGCTGAGCAGATGTTGGTACCATACTTCAATTTCCAAAACTGTGAACTAATAGATCTTTCTTTACAAATTACCCAGTCTTGGGTATTTTGTAATAACGACATAGGACAGTCTAATACAATGGAGTTATGGACAAGTGAGCACATGATATTATACAGAAGGGAATTTGGCAAGGCAACCCTTTAACTACGATTTAGCTCCTGGCCACAGGACCGAGTGTCTTATGTGTGAGTGTGTGTGTGTGTGTGTGTGTGTGTGTGTGAAGTATGTGCATACATTTATAAAGCTGGACTGTGTGAGTGTGACGATCACAGAAGGCCACAATCTGACTTCCCAGGTAGCTGGAGTCCCCAGATGGGCGCGGGTCATGCCCCTGGAAACATGCCGAGATCAACATGGCAACCCTGCAGGCAGGGAATACCTTTCTCCTAGACAACTGGTGCCTGCAGGAAGGTTCCTTGGTATCTGAGCACAACTGGCCTGGACCCTAAAAGGAAGCATGGAATCTTAGCTGGAGCTCCTCGATCCCACAGAGCTGAACTCAGACCCCTGGATCATAGCTGCTCCTCCACTGAAGACATTTCCAGACTTTCCATAAACTGGGCCTCCCACTGGTCACTTCACTGCCCACCCTGTGCTGCTGGGGAAAGACACCAAGTCTAGGTCAGCCAAGTAGAGAAAAAGATCCTAAAGATAAAAGGCACTATGGTTTGGATGTGATTTGTCCCTCAAGGTTCATGTGTCAGAAGCCTTGTGTTGCTGAGGTGGTGGGACCCAGGTAGCACTTAGTGCAAGTTGGTGAGGTCAGTGAGGGCACTGCCCTAGGAAGGAGTTAATGTGGTTTACCTGGGACCCTGAGTAGTGGCTTTTGTGACAACCGGTAGTAGGGGTTGCTGTAAAAAGTGCGAGCATGCGCCTCCTGTTGTCTGACTTCCTACCTTGTCATGTCATTTCTTCTACACACACTCCACCATACCATCCTCCATTAATTAGGCCCTCACCCTAGGATTAATAGATTCCAGCACCATCTTGGACTTCAGAAGTGTGAGCTAAAAAACTCTTTTCTTTATAAAGTACCCATCCTTAAGTATTTGTTAGATCAACAGAAAATGAACTAATCCATGGAAATATAAATAAGTCTTAGGATTTTTCTTAGAAGGGAAAAGAAAAGGTACTGTCTGAACTCAAACCAAAATACTTCCAAGGTCACCTCAGAACAAAGCCTGCAAAGTTCAACAAAAAAGATCCCTCAAATCACACAGGAAAGCAATTACAGCCCACGTGTCTGCCACTGGCCAGGGGGCTGGCTGGGAATGAGGATAAAGGCAGAGCCAGATTCAGGGCAGAGAGGACCAGTGACCAGAGAAACAACAAATGGGACTGTCTCAGGACAGAGGGACAGAACCAACACAGGGAGCTGCAGATGAGTAGTGCGCGACTCAGGGAGTCGGGCTGAGCTGAGGCTTTCTAGATTTGATTTGCCTAGGAAGGAGGTCTGGGGAAGGAAAGGAATGGCAGGGAAAGCCATGCCACCTCTTCTGGCTGATTCTCCAATGCAGGCCATGTGTAGATGGGCAAGTAGTTTCAAGCATCTGTATATGATTGTGTCCTACAGATAATGAAGTGGTTTGTGATTTTAAGTTACTTTTCTTTAGGCCCAGATGTAGGATGCACGTTCATGAGGAGACAGAGAACTGGAGATAACTTTGGGTAGGGGAAAGACTGAGATGATAAAACAGTGACTCACACTGCTGTGCTGTTCACCACCATGTGTTTATTAAGCACTTACTACGATGGCAGGTCTGTGCTTCCCACTGGGGCAAGTGGCAGTAAATGCAAAACACACAGACTAAAGCCGGGTGCATCGGCACATACTTGTAATCCCAGCACACAGGAGGCTGAAGCAGGAAGTTCACAAGTTCCAGGCTAGCCTGGGCTACACAGTGATACTCTGTCTCAAAGAAACAAAGACAGAACCCCCAAACAAAAATAAAAACAACAAAACAAACATACAGGTCCTACTCTGGCAGAGTTTCTCTTCTCCCTTGTCTTTCTATTTTATTTTATTTAAATTGTGGTAGAATACAAATACAAATAACATAAAATTTACTATTTTCCATTTTTAGTTGTACAGTCAGTGCCATCAAATATATACACATTGGTGTACTGCCACCACCATCCACCTCCTCTCCAAAACGCTTCCATCTTGCAAAACTAAAGCTCTAACCCCTAAACAGTAATTCCTCACTCCTCTCTCTCCTTGGCCCTGGAAACCATTGGTCTACTTTCTGTCTGTGGATCTGGCTACTCCAGGGCCTCCCGTGAATACAGTATTTGTGTGTGTGTGTTCATGAGTGGTTTATTTCACTCAGCATGATATCCTTAGGGTTCAGCCATGACACAGCATGTACATCCGTTTTAAGGCTGAATAATATTTCACCATATATTGTTTATCCATTCATTTTTCCCCCTCCCTCCACCCCTCCCTTCCTCCTTTCCTACCTACCTTCCTCCCTTCCTCTCCTCTCTCCTTCTCCTCTCTTCCTCCTCCCCCTCCTCCCTCTTCCCCCTCCCTCCTCTTCTCTCCCCCTCCCCCTGCTTCTCCTGCCTTTCCTTCTGTTTCTCTTTCTTTTGCAGTGCGGGGGATGCAGCCCAGGGCCTTGCACATGCTCGGCAAGTGCTCTCCACTGATCCCTCATCCTCAGATCCCTTGTCATTCGTTTTCAATGGGCATGTGCTTTGCTTCTGCATTTTGGCTGTTGTGGACAATGATGCTATGAACATGTATTTGTATGGATATTTGTTTTATCTTCTGCTTCAATTCTTTTGAATATGTGTGTGGGAGTGGGGCTGCTGGATCCTATGCGAATTCTAATTTTTGAGGAACCACATTCTGTTTTCCATTTTACACTCCCACCAACCAACAGTACAGTAGGGTTCCAACTTCCTCATGTCCTCAAACATCTATGGCTTCCCTTCGCAGTAGTCATCCTAAGGCTGTGACATATGCTCTTTGAAAAGATGTGGTTTACTGCAGATCTGGAGTCCATATGACCTCTGGTGTGTGTGTGGTGTGTGGTGTAGTGTGTGTGGTGTGTGTGTGTGTTGTGTGGTGTATACCAATATTTGTGCCAATCTTTGACAGATTTTTACCTAATTTTACCCAAGTCAACCTTACCAAGGGAAATGTGACCATAAAAAAACATCCTAAGCCTCCAGCACAGAAGGGCCCTAAGATGTGCTGTACTCTGAGTAAGGGGCAAGGGTAGAGTAGCTGCTAAAATCTAGGGGCCAGCCTCTAAGGAAATCTGGTGCTGTGTAGAAGGCAGGTTTCCCTGGAGAACTCCCAATGCCTCTTCATATGATTGGTGATTGGAGGAGTCGTTGACAAGGGAGGGAGGAGAAAAGTGGATGACACAGTGAGGAGGGCAGGATGCATCAAAACAACATCATAGAACAACCTAGGTTACTCTAGTGCTCGTACTGTCTCTAGCATTCTCACGATATTCATCTACATGTGAACACGCCTTTGGCAATACTGCTGCCAGTCACCACTGCTTATCACACCTTTTCCAGCAGGATAAAAAGGAAGAAACTGAGGAGGTGGCTTTGCTCCTCTTAAGTCCTATTTATAGAAACCCATGGAACACTGAAGCTGGAAGAGATCTCAGAGATCACTTCATTCTGTTAGGTGAGGTGGAACACCACTCTCTTCTATGCTAAGGAAGTGCTAGGGGTGGAAACCATGGGAGCATTTCTATGATGACACCGACTCAAATGTCACTCCACAAAAGATTCTAGACACATTCACAGGACATACTATATGAATACAGTTTCCAGGCTTTGCTTTTCTCTAAGTGTATATTTTCTTAGTGCTAGATTTATTTTTTTTCCTCCCACAAATAATTGCATAGAAAAGGAAATGGTCCTGTATCATCACCATAAAAAGCAGCAGCCCCCAAAGACAGCTCTTTTTCCTCTATGTCTGCCTCCTGGTAGATTGAAGTGAATACAGATGGACAGAAAAAGCCCCAGTGTTACCTGTGTGAGAAGGCAGATGGCACTTTGCTCCCCACAGGCACAGACAACAGAGAACATCCTGTTTGTGTGAACCCACAGGGAATGTGGTTCTATGATGATGTAAGGACCTAATGATGTCCCTCATTGCATGCAGGAGTCAGAACAGGGATGCAAGCTGGTGGGGAAGGCCAAACGAAGAGGCTTCAAAGATGGCAGAGGACCAGCAGATGGCCAGAAAGCATTCCTGAATTTGTGGCAGCAATAACTTAACAAGTCCACCAAATATAGCCTAGTTGATGAGGGGACTCAAGGCTTTCTATTTGTGGGTGGATAAAGAGATAAAGTCAGTTCACAAGCAGGATAGCAGCACATTCTGCACATCCCATGAGTCTGGGCCATACTGGGTTTTTGCAGTGCATTAAGTTACTCAGCCTATATATATGTGATACTGGGGTTTGAACTCAAGGCCTCATGCTTGCTAGGCAGGTGCTCTTACTGCTTGAGCCACTCTGCCAGTGCATTAAATTACTCAGAAGTTTTAAAACACCATTCTTGCCTTCCTATCATTTTCCTCCAGCCACCCTTCAGAGATTTTGATATGTCTGGAATAGATTACCTTTTAGGTGTGCAGGGGCAGGGAAAGGTGAGAGAACCTCCCAAGGTCACTCTCTTATGCACCTGCTTACCAGGGGTTAAGGTTCTGTGTCCTTTATCTTAATACTAATACCTCTGCCCATTGGATGACCAGCTTCTCCCCCAGCAGGACTCTGTGGAGTACCTGGCCTGTGTGGCACCTGGCATGCAGTGCCACATGGGCTGAGGTGCTTTAAAAGCCATCTTTGAGATGACAGGGTCAGCTTTTCCTGTGCCACACCCAGGTCCCTTCCATTAGGACAGAACAGTTGTTTTCCTTTGTGCCTTTTACTATGCCTCCAAGTAGGAGCCATGTGCCTTTCCAGAAAGTGAGCTGTCTGGCTATGGTAGGGGAGGGGAAGCGGGGGCTGGAACTTCACAATTGGGTTTGAAGCTCAGAGCTCAGTCCCTGCCCTTCTGCAGAGGGCAGCAGGGTGTGCTTCAGGAACCTGGTTTCTCTCTCCAAGTTCCTCTATTTCCTCACCTCTAAAATGGGGATAATATCTAATTACTATGATGGTGAGGACTTTAAAAGACCTGAGTACACAATAAATATCAGTCCCCAAACATGCATCAGCAAATACAGGCCCTGCAAATGTGAGAGCTCTGGACTGGTGGTGTCTGACACTGAGAAGCCAAGTTTCCTACACCAATGACTTCCCCAGCTTTTGTGGGCACAGGAATCACATGAACCAAATGTCAAGACTTTCCAGACTCAAACTCACTATCCCAGGGGCATCAGGTGCTAGCTTGGTATTTACACAGGACTGTCACATAGTCTGTTGTAGCTGAGAACACTAAATGTCCCTTACCTTGACAGCATTAATAGGTCTTCTTACAGGTCAATCTAGGCAGAAGGCAGAATGAAGCTAGGGAAAAGACACCTGTGACCATATGGTGTAGTGGCTCAGACCAATCTGCAGCCTGATGGTGGCTTATTTAATGGTGAATTTTCTGGAAGAAGGCTCTGAAACTCTCAGGTAAGAACAGACAACAAACAGCATGACATCTGTAGTGAGAAGGAGTCTGAGAGGTTCCTGCTGTAGATGGGAACAGTCGAGGCACAGATTGTGCAATGGCTTAATGGTCACACAGGTAGTACATGGCAGAGCCAAGAAAGGCACTGGCCTCTTTGATTTTCTGCCTGGTGCTCCTTTCCCAGCTCTGCCCCCTGTAGTACCGAGGCCACCATGAAATTAGTGTCAGGAAGAACTGTTTATCTCTACAGCAACTCAGGTGGACAGATGAAGACAGGCTAGTAGGACAGTGGGTCATAAAGCCACCTTTGTGAACCAAAGGGACTTAACACAGAGCACTGGACGGGTACTCACATGGTGAGGAGTCTACGAAGTCCGGGTCAATGTTATGCAGCAGCTCCACTCTGGGGGATGGGCTTCCTTCACTAGAAAAGAATATTTTAGGAAATGTTAATTTCTGCCTTCAAATGGGCATGAGTTATTTTAATACTTCCTTTCCTTGCATTTGTAGAAAATAACCAACCTGCCAGCTAGCAAGTCTGTCATGAATTCAGAGATCTCCAAAAGCCACAGCTGGTGCATCTTCAAAGGGTCATAATTTGACTGTTATAACAATGACTCAACATGCTACATAAAACACCAATGTCAAGCATATGATGATATGAAAGTAAATAAATAAGAATCCTGTGATCCTCTGCAGGAAACTAACTGTATTTAAATATGACTACTCTTTACAGCACAGAAATGAGAACTCTGTCCACCAATATGGAGATGTCATACCAATTGCATAGAAGGAAATGAAGAAAGAGCATCTTCCAGATGCACTGTGCCTCTTAAAGACTGGCCAAGTCAGAAACTCTAAACCTCTCCCATATCCAAATGGGTCACAGACTGAATACGAATACATGTGAAATAGGTGTTTTTCAGACTTTCCAAGAAAGTGCTCACAATTCCAGTTGTGACCACATTATTGCTGAAAAACAACTTGAAGCTTACATAGTCCAATCCCTCCTGTTACAAACGAGGAAGGTACAGATAAGTTACTGGAAGACTACCAGGTTGTGTGACCCTCAAAGCAGGAATCTTTAAAATCTTGGCGCATAAACACCTCTGGATATATGTGGGGAGTGTGTGAAGAATCTAGGTCAATTTTATGGAAATTGTCAAACACAATTTAAATCATCAGAACCCAGAGGACTATTTGACAATCTAATGCTGCTCAGTATGAAAGGTGACAAAGTCCTCTCAACACCACTGGATTTACATACAACCTGCATAACCAGTAGAGCCTTTGATATAACAAAGCTTTCAGGGGGTCCAATGACCACACCCCAAACTCATAGCTGATTGTTAATAGCAGTGATTTGGGATTTCAAGGACCAATGAAATTTCAGAGTTTGGGTTGTGGTTTCCAAATTTGCATTTGCCACATAAGGAACTGTTTAGATAAAATTTAATTAATAAATTTAAAGTCAAGCCAAAAGAACCTCAACTACTAACACCATTGTTTTCTAAAGTAAAGGTAATTTTAACAGCAAAAAGGTACAAAGGACACAATCTCAGAATAAATGAGTGTATTTAACTTTATATTCTATAAGATTTTGCTGCTCCTCTCTGCTCTGTGAAGCACCCTGACTGGAGACAGTGGAAGGGGACACTCAGGGCAGTTCTGGTCCTCAGCCCAGTAGCAGGGAGGTAGGGTTGAGGGAAAGTCTTGTCTCCTAGTGCTTTTTTTCTCATTTTCTTCCTGAGGACTTACCTATAGATGCTAGAGACAGTCAACCAGCCCCAAACTAGGGTTCTATCCCAGAAGCTCTGAATATAAGTAGGGAGGCCGTGCAAAGAAAATGGTAAATACAAGAAGATGTAAACAGAATGATGATAATGGTGGCCACTTCTGAGCTTATAAACAAACAAACAGACTTAAAATCTTGGATATTGTTAGCAGGGAAGTCAGGAGGGGAAATGAGAACGAAAACATGGTTATGTCTGTACTGTTTGGGAAGATAGCAAAGTTTTGTTTACATTTAGATTCAGCTGAATAAAACTGTGTGTTAAATTTTGAGAGTAACAAAGTGAAAGAATTTTTCTGGACTTTAGAAAATCAAAACAAAATTCATTCAACTCAAGAGAAAGCAAGAATAAGCCCCCCCCCAAATTTCAGATTATAGTATATACTACTATAAAAGTCATCTTTAAAAGCAGAGTTCCCTAGAGTACCCAAAAACATTAGGCATAGTTAAATAAAGGTCAATTTGGAGAGTGTTTATATGTATGTTATTCATTTGTTTCATTGTTTTTCATTATTCAAAACAGTCACAGGTATTTCAAAATAAGGAAATTTAATAAGATGGTTTTTTTAACACAAAAGCTCTGTGGATAATTTTAGTAGACTATCATTGGGAAGAACCTTCAAAGGCAGAATCATCATGATGCAAACAGAAGCCCCGAACCCCAGCTGTGTAGGTACGCTGTGATTCTATGTTTAAAATGTACTAATCGGGGGCTGAGTATGGCAGCACACAGCAAGCTACTCAGGAGACAAAGATGAGGAGGAAGGTGATTCAAAACCAATCTGGGCAAAATGTTAGTGACACCCTATCTAAACCAATAAGCTGGGTATGGTGGTATGCATATGTAATCTCAGCTATATAGGAGGCCTATAGGTAAGAGGATTGTAGTCTCAGGCCAGTCCTGTGCAAAACTGGGAGACCCTACCTGAAAAATAACTAAAGCAAACAAGGCCTATGGCCATGGCTCAAGAAGTAAAGTGCCTGTCTAGAAAATGTGCATCCCTGAGTTCAAATCCCAGTATGACCAAAAAAAAAAGAGAAAGAAAAACAGTAAAATAAAATACGGTAATCAGGATATTGTGATAAGGATGTGGTTAGAGATATGACCCAATAAAATACAATATGTGACAAGTAATTAAAACAATGACCAGATACCCTTCAAAACTCCAGACTATTAAGTAAATTGAGAAAACCAAATGTACATTTAAGGGAATTGAATAAAATACCATAAATTTTGGACTGTCCCACCTTAAAATATGAAAGGATGCTAAAATCCTTTGTCAAGCTTGTGTGTTGATTATCCAGGGTTAGGCCTTAGGAAAATGTTGGATTTTAGAAATATCTACATTCAAATTTTTTTTAAAGACACATATAATGTTGAGGAGAGAAAGATGGTAATTATAGAAATATGGAAAAATACAACCAAACTGGGGCAGGGGGAGGGGTGGGGGAGACTGTAGAGGACTTGTACTTTTTACACTGCTTTTATACAAATGGTAAATATTATTAGCATAATCAATATTTCAATTTATTCCAGGATTTGGGAGACTGAGTTAGGAGAATCACCAAGTTCAAGGCAGCTGGACACAAGCGACCTATCTAAAAAAAAAAAATTAAGAGTAATTTGACACTTAAAAATTACTATATGTATAATTTGTGGAAATTTTCAAGTTCACATAAACAGAAGATTTAAAAGCATAACAAGGAAAAATACTCAGATGTTTACAGAATTCTAAGAGGTTAAAAAAAGGAAACTTGTAACTATAATTACAATGTACATACAGTATTTGAATGCATTAGTTAATTTTTGGAATTTGATTGCATTCTGCCCAGTTATAAAACACAAAACTGATCATTGTGTCCTCTCAGGTGTCTAGAACCTGTAGTTTAAGAACAATATTGCTTTCACCTAAAAATGGAAGCAGTAATGGGTTTAGGTGCACACCTTAAGTTCTATTTTGAATTCCCTGCTTTACTTTCAGTAAAAGGGTTCAGGGCCTCAATGCCTGGAATATATGGTAGAAACAGAGAAGAGGAGGAAGTAGTAGGAGGAAGACGGGGGAAGGAGAGGAAAGAAGTGGGGGAGGAACTGTGGTTTCTTCTTATAGTTATATATTAAATTATTATCTACCAGATTTACTGGAAGTAACATGTGTGTACACAGACTCAAATATACAGATTAGACATTCACATTCAAGAACAATTAGCTTGGGTCTATAATCCCAGTGGGGAGCTGAGTGGGGTAAGATTGCAAGTTCATGGCCAGCCTGGGCAACATGGAAAGAACTTATCTCAGAAAATAGAAGCAAAGTCAAGAATCAAAACAATATGGTTAACTTCAGTAGAGACAAGAACTAGAACCAAAAAGGTGGCAAGCTTGTGCCTGGAGAAGAACACAGACATGGAGCTGGTGGCAGATCTGGGGAGGACATGATAAACCCAGAAATTAAAAGGGAACTCTTCGAGCCTCATAAATAACTGCATAGGAAATAACTGAGAGTTGCAATTTTGAAAAGACCAGTGAAGAGCAGAGAGGCACCGGTCATTAGAGAGGTGCAGCTGGCTGCTGAGGAAGAGAACACTTTGGGTCTAAATGACACACAGAGGAAGAACCTACCCTACACTCTGCTCAGGCCCCACAGTCTAGGCAGTTCAAGATACTGGACGCTAAGACATGGGAAGGAGTAGCTGCCACTGTTTACCTTCCATTTCCATACACCAAAAGGCACAAAAGTGGACCTCCATCTGACCAATTCTGAAGGCTTCACTTTCATAGGCAGCACAGCCTTGGGTTTGAGAGAAAGGCCTTTCAGGGACAAATGATTGGCTAAATAAACATGTGTCTTGTTTTTCTCATTAGCAAGAATCGTTAGGATAAAAAGTACCATGGTGGGACAGGGGTGTTTATTGAGAATGAAATGAGGCAAACCCTATCTTATTCAGTTCTTTTTACAAGTTTCTTGACTGTAGACAATGGGAAAGAATATAATCCCAGGTCAAGACTATACTGAGACACAGACTCAACAGTAACATGAAGATAAATGGAACATCAATTCTATTATCCATTCTTCATGCTGGCAGGCATTCCCTTTATAAAACACAGTGGGGTGGTTGTAACTTTAATCTCTAAGACGTGTTATGATGCTCTCTGCCATGTGAGAGCCTTTTTTTTTTCTTTAAAAAAAAAGAAAAACATGACATCATAACTAACAGTATACTCATTATGAACTGCATGTTAAAAAGATAAGGTGTAATCTGTAACCTATGAATTTCCTTTATTTGAGGGTTAGGCAGATGGTATGGTTTATCTGTATAGACAATATATCTCCAACAGACTATTGATTCCATTCCTGAAATCCAATCCCTGAATAATAACTGCAGATGTTCATGGGAAATGATTTTTTCAATAATCACACAAGTTCATGATTGAAGGGTTCCCCTAAGTTGTAAGGGAAACCAAGATAATGGAATACTTTTATTACAGCCAATGTTGGCTAACCAGGGGACTATGGGAAAAAAGCAGAGATCTCTTTGAGGCACCATTGAAGAGTCAAGGATTATTACTGCACTTTACCCTCCCCACCCCAGCCTGTACTAACATCCACAGGGGCCGGGGCGACGGGCACGGGGCA